AGGAAGGAAGGAAGGAAGGAAGGAAGGAAGGAAGGAAGGAAGGAAGGAAGGAAGGAAGGAAGGATAAAAATGTTTAAAGATTTAAGTATTCTCTTACTACATTTTACCAGTAGATATTTCACATGTCCACTGTGTAGTGGTAATCCATATTGATACCTTTAAAGTATTCAAAAATCCTGCAGTGTCCTTTGAGTCTCCCACTGTTATTTCAAACCGCTTTTAGTGAAATGGTGTTAGTATTTAAATGCTCAAATTTGCAGTATATGCTATCTTCTAATTCACCATGACATTTGAATTATAGAATTAATTTTCCTAACACCGTTCGACAATAATGTGACTAGACGTGTATATGTTTGTGAGAATGGTCAGTGTAATGGTGGGGCTGGCAGGGGGCAGTGGGGTGAGGAGTACTGGGCATGCCTGTGTTGAAGGGTGGAGGTAGGACTGTGATCTTTCTAGAAAGTTAAGCATACATTTTAGAGTTGCAGAGCTGAGACCTATGAGGAGCATTATCCAGTGATGAGTCAGTAGATGGTCTGTGGAGGCCAGGTGGCTCCCAAGGCCACACTCAGCTGTTAGTACAACTGATTCTTCTGCTGTCTCACCTAGGACAGCCCTGTTTTCTTCCAGTGTCCTTGTGAAATCTGGCGACCGGAACCAGTGAGAAGTATTGATGGAACAGTTGGAACCAAGGCCAGTCTGCTGTGGTTTCGTCCATAGGCTTAGTGAAGGTGCAGATATGGAGGTCAGGAGGAGAGCAGTCTTCAGGACAGTCCCCTCCCTTCCCATTCCCCACCCTTCTCCCTTTGCCCCTTCCTCCTTCTCGGCTCTGCTCTTCCCCCTCCCTTCTTTCCTTTTCTTCTGATAAAGCCATGAAAGAGATAACTTGTTGCTGACTGTAAGTGTGGTGGCATGCCTGTTATCCCAGCACTGAGGAGGCTAAGGCAGGAAGTTTACCAGTTTGAGGCTAGCCTGGGCTACATAGCTAGTCTCTGTCCTAAAAGAAAAATAGATTGAGAGATGTTGATTTACACATATAATAAGGTAGAACTAAACACATCTTCTAGATGTCTATTTATTACTTTTTAAAAATCTGTTGAGATGGGCATAGAGGCTCATCTTTGTCATCTCAGCACTCAGCATGTGGAGGCAGGAGGATCACCATGAATTCAAGGGCAATCTTCTTTACATAATGAGTCCCAGGCCAACCTGGGCTATAAAATGAGACCTTGTCTCTAAAAGCAAAGATAAAAACAAAATCAAACGAGTATGTTGGGTGTAGCTCGCTAGAGTGCTTGCTAGTATCCATGAGTTGTGTACCTGGTACCCACTTCCCAACACACACACAAATCTGCCAAGTATTTCTATGAATTTTGCAGATTAAAAACCTCAGAAAAATTTACTGCTGCTCCAAAAACTTCTATTTTTTTATGAAATGTTATCACCAACATCATTATGTGCAGAGATGAAAATTTTAATTGATTTTTTCTCTTCTATATGTATGTATATAGATGTTCACCATTTCTGAAATTGACGTCAGCCATCTTCCTTGATTGCTCTCTAGTTTATATATTGAGATAGGCTCTCTTCATTTAACCTGAAACTCCCAAATTCCAACTAGTCTAGCTGTCCATCTTGCCCCCAGGATCCCGTCTCTGCCTCCCAAATGCTGGCATTACAGGAGGCCACCATGCCTTTCTGACTTGATATGGGTTCTGGGGATCCAAACTTCAGTCCTCAAGCTTGCACAGTGAGCATTTGATCTTCAGACCATCTCCTCAGACCCTTTCATTGATTTTGCAGGGGCAGGTTTTCACCATATAGCCCACAATGGTTTGAAATGTGTGATCCTCCTGCCTCAGCATCCTAAGGCAGTGGATATGTGTGCATCATCATACTCCGTTGCAAAAATGAATTTTACGGAAAGTCATAAACATGGGCTTAACCCAGAAAGGGTACAAGGAAGGAATCTTAAACCAATTCAGTTAGGTAAAACCCACATCCGTACATGAGGCTCACAAGTGAGCCATGCTTTGTCAGTGAAATTGCCACCTCCTCGTGGACTTCATGAGATGCATTTCTTCTTAGCAGATGCTTTAAGTAATGCAGCCAGCCTGCTCTCCCCATCGGTGCTAGCACTGTGATTTACCCTCGAGTTCTTCAGACTGGAAGCAGTGGACCAGACTCTTGATTTTAGAGAGCCTGCGGAGAGCCCAGCATCCTGCCTCCTACGGACATAGAAGGCAGCCCTCATTCTGTGTGTCTGGTCTTGGCTTCATATGTGGGTGTTAAGCATGCACACTACACTGTAGAGAGGGTGGTTCTCCTACCTGTCAGAAGAGGGACTGATTTCATGTATAATGGAATACAACTCATGGAGCCACACAGGCACCGTAACCATGACGAGCTGGCAGTCTGAGAGCAATGCTTTCTCCCCTAGTTAGAAGGAAGATTGAGTACCAGGTTTGTAGCTCAGTGAGTGGTAGAGCACTTGCCTAATATGCCTGAAGCTCTAGATTCAATTCCTATTAAGTGTGGCAAGGGGCAGGGGGAGTGCTCACCAACACGAGCTCATGTGCCTTCTTCATCCCAGGCCTTTTTGTGGCACCAGTGGCTCTCTGCTTCATCATAGTTGTACGGCAAGCATTATCATTTGGTGCCATTTGTTGCATAGATGGATTTAAATTTATCTTGTAATTAATTATAAGAGGTAAAATGTTAAGTTTTTAAAAAATTTATGTGTATGTGTGTCTGTTTGAGAATATACCATGTATATGTGTGTGCCTGTAGAGGCCAGAAGAGGACGTCAGATCTCCTAGAGCCGAAGTGACAGGCAATTTTGAGCCAACTGACATGGATGCTGGGAGCCAAAGAAGAGTGAATGCTTTTAAATACTGAGTTATTTCTCTGGACTTGAGTCATTTGTCCTTTGTAGAATAGGGGTGTGTGTGTGTCTGTCTGTCTGTCTTACTTTGTATTGTTTTATGATCTATCCACATTAGTTCATTATAGTTAGCTACCATTTTCATGAAGATGAGAATTTTTGCCTGGAATGTGTGTGTAGCCAGTCATTGGAAAGATGTCTGTTTGCCTGAGTGGTAGGTAATAAAGAAGTGTGTTGTTATTTGTTTTTGCCCTTTTTGGGGGGCCTGCCACCCAGCTCCCAAATAAATCACACACGGAGGCTTATTCTTAATTATGAACACCCGGCTTTAGCTTGGCTTAGTTTTTAGCCAGCTTTCCTTGACTTTACATTATCTCATCTATCTTTTCGCCTCTGGGCTTTTCTTGTTCTCTTACTTCTGTAAATCTTACTCTTACTCTGTGGCTTGCTGGTTGTGTAGCTGGGTGACTGTCCCCTGGAGTCCTCTTCCTGTAACTGCTGGATCACCCCGCTTTCCCAGATTTCTCCTTCTATATATTCTCTCTGCCTGCCAGCCCCACCTATCCTTTCTCCTGCCCTGCTATTGGCCAGTTCTTTATTAGGCCATCAGGTGTTTTAGACAGGCCCAGTAACACAGCTTCACAGAGTTAAAAAAAATGCAACATAAACAAAAATAACACAGCTTAAAATATTCTACTACAGAAGTGGAATTGACATTTACTCTTATTTGTGTGTTCTCATTGACATGTCTGTGAAGTAAAGCCATGACGTAGACATGTTTTCAGGATACACACTAGGTATCAAGCTGCTTCAGTGTTTGTGTATGTTCACTGATAAATATCATATCAAATCCTCAATAAAAATAAAACTTTACTTGCGCCTTTTTTTTATGATAAGATGGGTCTTCACATCAGCCTTGCTATGCGCCACACCTGCTTCCTCGCCTGAAAGATCAAGGTAGGGAGTGTCAGAAAGAAAAAGAGCAGGGCATGCCTAGTAGAGTGTTTCAGCACGTACTAAGCCTAAGAATTGCCAAAAATAAACATTACCTCCCATTCCTTTTAATCCAAGACAAAATGCAAGATTTTTAATAGCTTTCAATAAATATAAAACATTCAGAGTTTAATAGTTTTCAATAAATAAAAAATAGAGATCTTAATAGCCTTCAATAAATGTATAAATGAAGATTTTAATAGCTTTATTGAAATTTATCTAATTCCTAAACAATTCACTCAAACTCAGGAGATTTGACCCTAAAAGATTTCAAGGGATTTATGAAGTGATCCTTCACCAAGGCTACAGATATCCTAATCATTATCACATCCTATGCTTCACATCTCATTTCCAGTTCTGCCCCTTTCTACACATGGTCCCATGGAGGTGGCCAATGCAGCTGGATGTTTAAAGGGAAAGTCTTCACAATGCAACTGGAGGGAGAGCCAGCAACCTTGGGAATAACTACTGCTCATTGCTAATGGATTTGTGGGCCTTTCCGAGGCCTGTGGCAGACTGGCGACAGCTATGATTTTAGCTTATGGCTTTTCCATAGGACCTGTTACCATGTCCCATCAACCTCTGAGCTGCCTGACTGAGAAGGGGGACAGCCCCTGTGAGACCCCAGGAAATGGACCCCCCAATATGGTTCACCCCAGCCTGGACACATTCACTCCTGAGGAACTGTTGCAGCAAATGAAGGAACTCCTGGTTGAGAACCACCAACTGAAAGGTGAGCAGGGATGTCATCTGGAAGCACAAGACTTTGAGCAGGGCTACAAGGCCTTTGGTTTACATGTTTTCACAGGTCAGACTCAAAAGTACTCTGTTTAGGGGCTGAGAGTGTAGATGAATAATAGAGCGCTTGCCCGGCATGTGCGAGCGAGGCTCTAGGGTGGATCCTTACCACTACACAAAAAAGAAAAAAGAAAGAGAGAAAGTATTCCATCTCAGAAAATAGTATAATGACATTTAGCACATTTAAAAGGCAAAAGAGAGGCACCGCTGTGATTACAATTAGGTGTAAATATTGCTTGTCAGGAGAAAGCATTCTAAGCTAGGCATGATGGCTCAGGGCTGTATCCTAGCTCCAGAACAGAGATGGGGATTCCAAGTTCAATGCTGTCGTGTGCTACATAGCAAGTTCAAGGCCATCCTTGAACTTGCTATGCTTTGTTTCAAAGGAGGGATTATATTCTGGTATCTCAAGCTGTGGCTAATTAATTAAACATTGTAATCAAAGAATGATAGGACTTTCCTCAGTCTTCCAGACTTCTGATCATTAACAGGAATTTATATCCCCAAATCAATTTTATTTGGGGGATTTTGTTGTTTTGAGACAGTGTCTCATGCAGACCTGGATGGCCTCCTGCTCGCTATGTAGTGGAGAGTGACCTTGAACTTCTCATCATCCTACCTCTTGTATCCCAAATGCTGGGAATACAGTTACGAGCCACCATGCCTGGCCTTTCTTGTGACCTTTAAGGACTAGCAGTGGTGTCCTAGTTTGTCTGAGCAAACTCTACTCACATCGCTATAGCTTTTTTCCTGCTGATGCGCCCAGCCCAGGCCACTGGCGCTGTGTAGATCCACAGCCCCAGGGGATTGAAATGGCCAGAGGGGAGAGCTGACTCATGAAATTCCATCCATTCCCTGGTGGGTGACTCCCTCTCTCTGAACCCCAAACAGAAGCCATGAAGCTAAATAATCAGGCTATGAAAGGGCGATTTGAGGAGCTTTCGGCCTGGACAGAGAAGCAGAAGGAAGAACGCCAGTTGTTTGAGACCCAGAGCAAAGAAGCGAAGGAGCGCCTGATGGCCTTGAGTCACGAAAATGAGAAACTGAAGGAAGAGCTTGGGAAACTAAGAGAGAAATCAGAAAAGCCATTTGAAGTGAGTACGTGAGCCACCGTGGTTTGATTTTCTTAGTGTGTGCAGTTGTGTGACAGAACCTTCCCTGGGGAGATATAATCTACACATCTACTCTCTCCAGATAGGAATCCCATGACAGACCAAAGTACGGATACCACCAAAGTCCAGCTTGGTGAACCAATGAGTTTTATTAGGGTTACTTACAGGAGTATGGGTGAGTGGCTACTTACAGGAGCAGAAATAACTCAAAGTCAGCTGCACCACCAAGGCCCACCCCAGCACGGGTGACAGCTCACAAAAGCTAAGAGACCTGCAGCACACTGCACAGCCTTCAGCAGCTCAACCAGCTGGAGAGTGTCCTTTCCCAGCGACTCTGGTCTGAACCTCATCCAGGCACCTTGGCTGGCTTCTACTTTTCTCAGATAGCCAGTCTGGTCTCAGGAGTCGTCTTTGTATTTCTCTTCTCTTGTTGTCTTTCCAGCTCAGCTCCCTTCAGTCAGAGGAGGACTCTCAGCTTTTATTGCTTACTCTGGCAGGGAGGGACCTAGTGAGAGCTGGTTGATTTCAGGGACTTCCTGAAGCTATTTTGAGTTGTTCGCCTTCCTGTTTAAAGAGCTTTCCTGCAGGAAGGAAATTTTCTGTCCAGGAGGAAACTGTTCCACAGCAGCAGTAGAACCTTACTGGTCCGGACTGTGGTTCAGGCTGGACTGGTGTTTTATATGGTCTTGGAAGCATCGTGGAAACACTGGCTGGGTCATATATAATCTCTGTTGGGGAGGGATATTGATAAGGGCAGAGATGAGATGGCTCAGTCTGTAAAGTACCTGCCATGCAAACATGAGGACCTGATCTCCAACATCCATGTAAAAGCTGGCATTTGTAAATTCAGCACCAGGAGCCAAGACCGTCAGATCACTGAAAGTCATTGGCCAGCCAGCAAATCAGTGAGGTCCAGGCTCAGTGAGAGACCTCGTCTCAAAAACTAGGATGCAGAGTGATCTAGTGATCTAGTGATCTAGGAACACCCCAGTGTCAAACCCTGACCTCCAACACCCTCATGCATGTTCACCTTCATGCACATACCCACATAAACATACATGCATACATACCAATATGATATGTCTGTGCATGTGCATATGTGTGTGTGTAGAGAGATATCTCACAAACAAACCCGAATTTATAAGATCTCATACAATATAGTGCAAAGATAATTCTGAGCTTTACATGGTGGCTTACAATGTAATCCCAGCACTGTAGAGACTGAGGCAGGTGACTCAAGAGCCCACAGCCAGCCTGGACCACATAGTGAGTCCCAGGCCAGGCTGGGTAGTATAGGACTCTCTGTCTAAAAAAAAAAAAAAAACCTAAAAACATATTCAGGTTATAAATCAGTGTTTCATATTCATTACAATGGTAGGTCAGGGGCCGGAGAGATGGCTCAGAGGTTAAGAGCACTAGCTGCTCTTCCAGAGGTCCTGAGTTCAATTCCCAGCAACCACATGGTGGCTCACAACTGTCTATAATGAGATCTGGTGCCCTCTGCTGACATGCAGGCATAACACTGTATACATAATAAATAAATCTTTTTAAAAAATGGTAGGTGGACCTCTGCCTAGAGCCATCTAATTGTTAATTCTTGGTTTATATCCTTGATATAAAATTAGATTTTACAAAATGCACCTTGGAATGCTTACTTTTTTGACCTGTTATCCTTTTAAGTAGTGATGATTCCCTTTACAGTTTGCTTTTGAAAAATGACTTAGGAGTGCCACGCTGTGATATGGCACACTGACTGCTGGGCTCCCGTGGTTGGAGAGGAAAATGGTCACATTTTGGTTAACCCAAAGGTCCTGTGAAATTCATTTATCCCTGAGAGTGCATGTCAGGGGTACTAATAAAGGACAAACCCGAGCACACTTGATCTCAGCTGGTCCTCCACCACCCCAGGTGACATCTGGGTGACACCTGCCATCCATTCCTTCCAAACCTCACACTTAACCCTTCCAAGGATGGAGCACTGAGATTTCTGTTTTTGTTTTTTTAAGCTTACTATCTAAAAACCCATTCTAGGACCATGTGTAGTGAACTGGTACATTCCTGTTATCCCAGGATAACTCAGGAGGCAGAATCAGGATTGCCACAAGTTGGAGTCCAGCCTGGGCTGCATAGCAAGGCTCTGTCTTAAACAAACAACAACGATAAAAACAAAACAAAAGCAAGTATGGCAATATGAGTTTGTACTCCAACACTAGATGGGGGTGGGGGGGCTCCCTGGCTAGTCAGCCTAGCTGCAGTTGTGACGGCCAGGTTCAGTGAGACAGTGTCTCAAGACAATAAGGTAAAAATAAAAAGAAATCAAAATAAGGTGGGGAAGTAATTGACGAAGATATCCTGACACAGCCTCTGGCTTCCACACCCACATGCATGGGCAAGTGCACTTGTACACATGCAGACACCATACACATGTTCAAAAACAATAAATTCATGGTAGGGCTGGGGTGTGGCTCAGTGGTAGAGCATTTGCCTAGAATGCACAAGATCCTGGGTCCAATCCCCAGTAATGAACAAAAGACGACAAAGAGGGTTTTAAGAATTCTATAAACTGCCGGGAGGTGGTGGCGCACGCCTTTAATCCCAGCACTCGGGAGGCAGAGCCAGGCGGATCTCTGCGAGTTCGAGGCCAGCCTGGGCTACCAAGTGAGCTCCAAGAAAGGCACAAAGCTACGCAGAGAAACCCTGTCTCGAAAAACCAAAAAAAAAAAAGAATTCTATAAACTATAATTAGAGAGGTACTAAAGTTAGGAAGGGGGCGTGAAGCGTGGCGCCTTGTACATCGAGCTAGGGCTTTCCTAAGGAGGGAACAGGGAGGCCTGAAGGTCATAGAACAGACTATGGACTATGGGGTGTCACATTTTCCTTCCGACCCAAGAAGACTGAGACCGGGACTTCAGAGAAGGTGAGGACCACACCCCTAGTGATCAGTGAATGCAGATGAGTCTGTCCTCCCTGTGAAACAAAGCCCCCCATCTCAACAGGCCATTCCCCATTGCTGTCATGTGTGGTCATTACAACAGGGTCAACTCAACATGTGACATATATTTCACATGTGTGCAGTACCAATTAATGTGTATTATTGATTCTATATAGGCTGAAATCTAGCTTTTCCTTAATCTCTGAGGTTTTGTCTTCTTCTTTCTCTCAGATTTACTTTTTTCAGTCTTAAAACACCAGCATAGAGTAATCATATACCTGGCAGCTAGCATACTGGGAGACTGGAGAGCCGTCTCTGAGCCAGATCACGTTCTTGGCTTCTGACTGCACCTGTGTGTGTGTGAGGGGGTGGGGGGTGGAGGTGGAGATAAGTAGGTGTTTGTGGGGAGGGGAAAAGGCAGAAGGTTGCGTTTTAACAGCTTTTGGTCCTTGTTTTCTGAGATTTTGAACTACAGTATCCGAGTACATCATTGTCAGAGTCTGGTTGGTTATTTTCAGGATTTTAACCAATGCTTCTAGCATGCTGTGGAAGCTTTCTTTTTTGTCATTAAGTTATTTTAAATTTTGTTTGTTTGTTTGGTTTGGTTTGTTTTTTTGAGACAGGGTTTCTCTGTGTAGTTTTGGGTCCTGTCCTGGATCTCACTCTATAGATGGACCAGGCTGGTTCTGCCTCCCGAGTGCTGGGATTAAAGGCGTGTGCCACCACCGCCCGGCTCAAATTTCTTTTTTCTTTTTTCTTTTTCGTGTGTGGCTCTGTGGATTGAACCTAGGGTCTGACACATTTGAGGCAAGCTATTATTCAGCTTTACCCTTAGCCCCCAAATTCCCATGTTATATGGTGTGTCAAAATAAATTGTTAAATAAGAGGGAGAATCTTCTAAAAGCATAGCAGATGAAGATGTTAGAAAAGTGCCTTTTCTAAAACGGGCACGGTGCTGGAGATGGAGCTCAGTTAGGACCCAGGTGCTACAGACATGAAAAGGCCAGGCGTGGGGATGTGTGTATGTAACCCCAGTGCTGGGGATGCAGAGACAGGTGGGCTCCTGGGGCTCACTGCTCGCCAGCCCAGCCTACTTGTCAAGTCCTAGATCAGTAAGAGAACCTGTCTCCAAAAGAAAACAAAAACAGAAAAGGTGGACAAGATGGTTGGCACTTGAAGAGTGATACCTAATGTTTTCCTCTACACACACACACACACACACACACACACACATCTACACACACACACACACACCATGAGCATACCCACCCACATGTGCATCCCCAACACACAAATATAAAATGGGACATCGTGGTACATGTCTATAA